TTTGGTGTGTGTGTGTGCGTGCGTGCGTGCGTGCAGGGTTTGTATAAAATGCATCAGTGACTACAACAAGTCCAGTTCTCCTGAATGAAAAATGTCAAACCCTTTGAGGTGAATGAAAATCAGGCTTTTTTTTTCTTGCTGAGACTCGCAGATGGAAACGGAAAGAATGAGACAGATTGACCAAAGGAGACTTATAACCTTCACTCCAGCAGATTTTAATATGAGAAGTCCAAAAAACTAGATTAATTCACCTGCTGACCTGCTGTTTTTATTGGACAGTAACAGTTTTATCTCTAGTTTATATCATTTGTTGGCCCTGATGAGTCTCCTTTGGCCTCCACAGGCTCTGTGTTACATGAACACATGGAAAGTTTTGACTCGTGGGACCCAGCACCTGCCGGAAAGCTGACAATTAGTTCTGACATTTGAAGAAATGAAAGAGAGGCCAAAAATGACAGTTTATTTTGAGGTCTGGTGTCACAGAAACAGCACAAATGTAAAAGCTGAGTGAAATTAATTCGAATGAATAATTTCCTCTGAAGGGTATTGTGTTTTGGGCAGATTCCAGGTATGACTGAATTGATTTTAGCGTGTTATTGGTCAGAAATGTCTGGTAGTTGGTTTTATTACCAAATAGATTAGATGTCTGGTAGTTGGTTTTATTACCAAATAGATTAGATTGAAGATCACAGAATATACCTAGATGGTTTTATAAACAGACAGTACAGTATACAGTATATTAACACTTTTGTTTGTAAATTTGAAGATATTTTAACTTAAAAGATGGAACTCAAAAACAATATGGAGTCAAATTAATTTGCTGAGTTCTAACTTGTAACACAGCTGTGACTGATCAAAGCAAAACTGGCAAACCTGTTAACTGTCATCCTATTGGCTAAACATTTTTATTGATACCGGTTGGTTGTGGTGGGCGGGGCCTTAGCTCTTGTGATTACAGATGTGGAAGAAAATGAAAATTTACTGCAGTAGAAGACTAAATTTCTGCAGGTTTAAAAGAACTCAGACTCATGTAGAAAACACGAACACGCATATACAGTACACATATGCACACACATCCACACACTGCAGTCTGTGAGGAATTTAGTTGAACACAAGGAGCAACAGAATTCCATCACACATGCTGGGGTTTCAGGCCAAATTACACTTTAATAGGATATTAAATGGCAGGAATCTGGCTGATTGTTTTTTCTTTTTGCTCAGTACCAGATTTGAATCCGTCTGATATTCAWATAGATCAAATTCCACAGAACTCCCAACAATCGTGTGGATGGAGAACGAAAGATCTCAGTCAAACATTTTATATGTGACTGACTATAGTTTGTTTTCTCAGGTTCTCCCTTTAAAAGGCTCTGGTTTCAGCTGCATACAGTAGCTTAATGATGACTGTGGGAAACTTGCCAGTAAATCTCTTGATGTGGARAAAYACCAGCTGAAGACTCATCAGTGGCCAACAACAAGTTTTCAATAATGAAACTTCATGGCAATGACTGGCCTTCATAACAGCTTATAAATACTATTTATTAATATTTTTGTTCATCATGAATGTATCAGTCTTTTAGAGTTATCTCTGTCTGTGATATAAATATTAAATCTAAGTGACCTTTTTTAATTTTACCTCCTTAAGGTGCCTTTGGTTTTAGAAAGTGCCACAGTTGTTCTTTTAATTGAACATTTTATTTATTTTATAGCAATTTTATACAGGAAAACAAAAGAAAAAAGAAAAAAAATTCCCCCTTAGAAAGCCCAAACAGATTATTTTTTTTATTTTCTGTCTCAGTTCAAGCTGTATTCTTCTACAGATTTACAGATCATTTGTAAAAATCCAACATACGAAGTTTGAGGGTGATATTTCACTCAATTTTTTTACCTGCCCCTAAATAATCTACAGGCTTCGACTCAAGTCTCTTCTTTTCAATGAGTTTTATTACAGCATWAGAGTTATCATATTTATATTGTTTTAATGATTTTACTTTATGCCTTTATATTTTTAACAGTTTGTTTTATTGTCTGTTCAGTATCGCTCTTTTACTTTTATATTGTTTGTATCACTTTGAACAATATCAGTTGTTTTTAAATGTTCTATACAAATCATTTATTTGAATTTCCTGCATCATTGATGCTAAACTTATTTCTTTTGGAGAAAACAAGCTTTGMTGTTTTCTGCAGCCATTTTATTGAGAAACTRCAGTTTTTATTTGATTTAAAACTTTGAACTCTTGGTGACAGATGAGCAGCAGTAATTTACTGTAGAAGACAGGGACAGGATAACAATGCTGGACTCAGGATCACTCTGTGACAATAGGCCGCTCAGAGACGATGATGAATGTTGACGTTTTGTCCCAGGAATCCAGAGATGTGGACAGACTGGCTGCGATTTGGTCTTTCCACACTTTCAAAGCMAGGGRAAGAAAAAGCTGAGGATGCTGCTCCTGCCAAGACTCAAAGGTTTCAGGTTAGGCTTTAGAAATGTTTGAGGGAGAAGGGACATGACTTCCATTTAGACCAAGAGCTGACTTTCTGTAGCCGTCAGCTGCTGGGACAAGAACGACAGCTTGGTGGCAGCGGTCGAGACAGAAAGAACACAATCATAAGAGCTGAGTTTGTTCTCGTCTGCATGAGCTCTTAATTTTTTGTGACAAAGGCTAAAAAAAGAAAGGTTCACCAAAACGTTGACTGCTACTCAGCTTATTGAAGGCCACGTTTGGCGAAGAAAACTAAAAAAAACTAAAATAAAATAAAAAAAAACCTCAACCTGACACACAATTGGAAAGTGGAAATTAAATATATCTCAACATAATTGTTTTGTGATTGATCACCCACACATAAAGTTTTACTGGTTTGTGTGCACATGACCACACACACATACACGCCCCTGTCGTCAGGTTTTTAGATTAAAAAGCCACACTCAGGGAAACCGAGGCATGCTGCCCTGCTCTGTGGAAAACACGAACTGTTTCCATTTTAAAAACTGAACTGAGTCTCAAACAATGGCTGTTCCCACGGGACGGAGGAAAGACGTTTAACAAGAGAGCAGAGGTGTGACCCAGAAAACACTCACCACTTACACACAGAAATCCCCCAAGAGTGTGTGAGAGGCCGACTCGGCTCCCACTATGAAGAACAGCGACATAATGATGCAGTGAGAGCTGGACAAACATATCATTTGGCTTCCAGAGCCTTAAAACAGTTATTTCTGGACACATGTAAACACACACACACTGAAAATTGTTTACTTGTGGTTCCTTTTTTTTAACTCCTTAATGCGTTTTGTTCACCGCAAGTATCAGTCGTTCGTGTCTGAAGGAGTTTCTCAGAGAACCATGTCGTTCTTTCTGTCTCAGATCTCTGAGAACGTTCTCACGTGTTCATCATCATCATCATCAAATGTATTTATAAAGTGCATTTTAAAAAAAACAAGTTGTTACCGAAGTGCTGAACACAAGGCAAAAAAGTCAATATAAAAGCAAACAACATAATTTAAAAGCATAAGAAAGATAAAAACACAGAACAATAAAATACAGGGAAAAAAATCACACTTAATTAAAAATCAGGTGTGATTTTAAAAGTGATATAAAATCAGGAAGTGATAAGGCCTGCCTAATGTTGGGGGTTAGATCATTCCAAAGCTTGGGAACCACRACTGAAAAAGCTCAATCTCCTCTCAGCTTGGCATTTGTAAGTAAGCAGGAGAATTTTAAAATCTATTCTATAACACACAGGGAGCCAKTGAAGGGAGGATAAGACYGGTGAAAAATGATCAAACCTATGAGTTCCTATTAAGAGCCGAGCTGCAGCGTTCTGAACAAGCTGAAGACGTGAAAGGGAGACTTGACTGATCCCAGCCTAAAGTGTACTGCAGTAATCTAATCGACTAGTAATAAAGCATGTCTTATTTTCTCAAGGTCAGRTCTGGTTAATACTGGCTTGAGTTTGGCTATCTGTCTTAACTGAAAAAAAAACTTTTCTGCAAAACCATCATCAGACATTTTGCTGTTGTCAACAAGTCAGAGATTTCTGACATTTAAAGTGAGATTGTATGGTAAAGTTATGAACCTAACCTTACCTGTTGTAGATAATTCTCTTAACGACCTCAGTTTTGACTTCTGGTCAAAGTGATGAGTAAGTGGCTACATGTAGTCCAAACACAGCTAGGAGATTTTTTTTCAATCTTGTGATGACCATCTGTGATTTTGTTCCTCATCATTACTTTAATTTAGTCAGTTTTTCCTCAACATCAGGACAATCTTTACGTCCTCCCCACATTGCCAGGGTTACAGCGCTCCTTCTTAGGCAWCCTAATTAATCTCTGTTTACTGGTGCTTGTAAACAGCAACAACCTGGAAGTGTTTAACATCTGAAACTCAGCTAATATTTCTACATCCAACAAAGAGGAACAAAGACAATTGTCAGTTCTTGGTTATTTGAACCAACTGTAGAGTCATCTGCCCGACACAGGAAGAAAAAGACTGAACTTGTTTTGGGGCAACAGGTTCAGTATCTGATGTATGACTGTTTGTTTCTCTGCAGGAATGTACTTTTTAATAAGTTGGCTTTTCCATATTTAATATAAATGTTGCCAGGGACAACTGAGTTGGCATCAATTCCCAAATGGTATGGTATGGCCAAATGGTATGTTTCCTAACTTTTTTAAGTCTCAAATGTACTCAGCACTGGTAAAGACAGAGAGGAAGAGATGGGAATGTTGCATCAGTCAACTTCACTGGCTATCACCAAAGTGTAGYAACTTGTTGTAAGAAGAGTAACCAAAAAGCACACACTACAATAAAGTGAGTTCACAAGTTTAAGAGGAAGAGTCAATCTGAAGGTTGTGTCTCATCTGGGCAGTCTCATGTTTGGATCTGTTTGTGTGTCCCTGACTTCACTGTTTTGCTTTGTTCAAAGAAACTCGTGTTATTTTCTGTATACTGATAGAAGGCTATCTGTATATCTGAGTTAGGAGGACATCACTACAAAGTTGACTGGACTATCTTTAATACTACATATTATAGACAGTTGTTTAGGGCACTTTGGATAAAACCAAAAGCTAAAAGTTGTTGAGGAGTGAGTGTGTGTGTTAAGAGTGTGTATTAGTCAGCCAGCCCATGGTGTTTGCAGCCCAGCCTTTCTCATTTTGTTGTTTTGTAGGTAATAATTGCAGCAGATGGAAATACCACTCTCCATCATCATCATCAGGTAGAACATCACTTCCTGTTTGTGCTCATGGATTTGTCAGGTCTTGCATCATTTTCATCCAGTTTTGTTTCATTTTGTCCTTGCTTTGCTCCCTTCCTCCTCCCACTGCTGGCACTTCTTGTTCCTGATGCCAAAAACCATCAGACTTCTTAGCTTTCCYATTTGGCGGTCCATAAAACCCACAGTCAGAGGAGCCCAAAGGCAACAGGAAGGTTGACTGAGTGTTCAGTAGCAAAGCAGGAAAACAAATAAGAGAAAAGAAAAAGTGTCTGAGATTTATTGTCCATTTTATGAGTCTTTGGCACTGCCGTTGTTTTTAAAAACCTGAGTTTCAGATGTTATAGGCAAAGAGCTGTGGAAATCCACTTCTTTAGTACAGGGGTTTATTTCCAGATTCTTTGGTTGGGAGTAGGGCTGGGCAATAATTCTATAACAATATCATGATAGATTCATTATAAATATCAAWAGAAAACAATATCAACACATATCATGACAGACGGGATCACTATCAATAGAAATTTTGTCCAATAGAATGTTAACAATTTCACTGAACTATGATCAGAACTGCACAGCATTCTGGGGGATATAGGCCTAGCTAAGCAAGGTTGGTGGCATCAACAAACTGTCACACACAATTCCACTGGGAATTGTGGATAAAAGAAACAAGGATAAAGTTTTTTTTTTCCTTCTTCTTTTTTTGACTGCTCCCTTGTTCGAGGGTTGCCACAACTGAACTCACACAGTTRTATATGGCAATTGTTTTATGTTGGATGCTTTTTCTGAAATAACCTGGTCTCAAACCTGCAGCCTTAGGGTCACAAGACTGTGRCACTGACCACTACACTGGCCCCGGCAGATTGACAGTGTTGAAGGTTTTCAAAAAGTCAATTTTGGATACAAAGCAGTCAAAAATAAAGCAATATATTGTTTTGGCCCAGCAGCTGAAAAAGTCAGTCTCAACCCTAGATTAGAGGATCTTACAGAACCTGGATCAGGGATGAGGAACTTGGGGAATATCAGCTAAAGTTGAAGTTTCTCACTGTCGAGAGGAAAGAGYGGACAGCAGGGAGTTGTGGCCAGACGAGAATGTGAGGATGTTGTTGGAACATCTGATGCTCTGAAAGCTAAACTCTGTGGTTTGTACCTCTGGGTTATCACATTCTCATCTCTCTCTCACACATTCTTTCTCTTCTTCTAAGAACCTTCATCGGAAGAGGTTCTGAAGCCAGTGAGGATCTGTCTCTTTTCTGACTTTACAGCTTTTCCAAAACAAAATACAGGAAATGTTCTAATCAGGTCCATACGAGCTCAGGGCTTTACAAACCTTGTACTGTCACTACGGGTCAGGCTGCTGTCGAACAACTTTCTGAAAACTAGATGGGAAAGCAGCAGGAATAATTTGATGCCTCTGCAGCTTGCAGAGTTCTAAACAGGATATTTGGAAAGTCAGTGAGTTCTGCGGGGAACATGGGACTAGAAGTGACAAAGTACAGCCCATAAAATCAGTAAGAATCTTCTGAAACCTGAAGAGTTTTAAGCTTCAGCTTTAAGACTCATTCATTTGCATTTTTATTCTTTAAATGAAAATTACTTTTTAAAGTTATATATTTAAAAAAGACAAAAAGCTGTACTGAGGTAATAGTGCTACAATGGCAGCATATTGGAGTCCTAGGGAAGGGGTGGCAGTTCGCCCATGAGGGAGACCTCATGCACCAATAATGGTACTGAAATCTCGGAAATGTCCAATGTAAGGAATAAAATTCAATTCAGTTTATTTACATAGCTCCAGTTCACAACAAAGGTCATCTCAGGGCACTGTACAAAAACCCCTCACATGCATTCCAATGCCAAATAATAAATGTTTTCTAAGAAACTCAGCAGATTACATCAAACCTCCACTACGTTGCATCTCCTAACCTGAGCTCAAAATTCTGCAGATTCCAACAAAGTCATGGAAACAACTTCGCATAAAGGAGAGATCCATGGCAGTAGCATTGTGTTAGCGTAGCAGGATCTTTTATCGCATCCAAGAAATGGTGCCAAGGCTCGGCATTGGGCATGGCACCACTGTGGATGGTAGCATCATTGTGGGAATGTGCTGCTGATGTATATATAAATAATGATGATTCAGGAGAGCATCTTGAGGATCTAAAGATTGCAGGATCCTATTTGGTGAGTGCAGAGTGTGTAGTTTTGAACAGGTCATAAAAAGGGTAGCAGGGTCATTATCTAATATGCCAGAGGGGGACCAAAACCTCATATGGTCCTAGCGGTATGTTTAGTTAACTTTAATTGAGCTCCTGGAGGCTGCAGAGCTAAATAACAAAAAAAAAAAAAAACAAAAAAAAAAACAGATGCTCTATTCTTTTTTAATGCCTCATGAACCGCCAAGCTCATGTCATCAGATTCACTGCTGGATGAAGCTCACCTCAGACTGAA